AGGATGCAGAGGGATTGAATTTTATTTTTTACTTGCAGATGGAAAAAGAGGGGAGTAATTTCTCTTCTCCTCTTAATTTTTCGTAGAATTATTAAATTTGACCATCACAAGTGAGTGTTTTCTAATAAAACATCCAGTTTTAGAGAATATGTACAGTAATACATAGCACTGTTGCTGTTATGCTTTCCAATGTTTACCAAAGAAAGATAAAGCAGGACTTAAAATAAATTAACAGCATGGCCATAATCTTACTTACAAAGCAGTGCAGTTTGTATTTCCACGCAGAGCGCTTGTTGAAACTTGCAAAGAGGAGTCTGTTTAGAGAGAATGAATAGTAATTAGCATAAAAGTTGGTCAAACTCATCAATCTGTGGTGTGTATACAGCTATATAGTGTGGCCATATTCCCACACTGCACACAAAGTAGTAAAATCCATATGATAAACAGTATTTTTCTTATGGTTCTAATACAGCTATGCTGCTCTACAACATATTATTCCTAAGGTAATAATATCTAGAACCTCTAATTAACTAAAAATAGTATGTCAGCCACACCAAAACTGACAGTGACAATTTCTAATGTTTGTTGAAATCTAAAATTTAGGTTGAAGAGTATCATAGAGTCATAGAATGGTTTGGGTTGGAAGGGACCTGAAAGATCATCTAGTTCCAACCCCCCTGCTGCGGGCAGGGACCCCCTCCACTAGACCACGTTGCCCAAAGCCCCATCCAACCTGGTCTTAAACACTTCCGGGGATGGGGCCTCCACAGCCTCTCTGGGCAACCTGTTCCAGTACCTCACCACTCTGACAGTAAAGAATTTCTTTCTAACATCTAATCTAAATCGACCCTCCTTCAGCTTAAACCCCTTACCCCTTGTCCTGTCACTACACTCCCTGATAAACAGTCCCTCACCATCTTTCCTGTAGGCCCCCTTCAGATACTGGAAAGCCGCAATTAGATCTCCCTGGAGCCACCTTTTCTCCGGGCTGAACAACCCCAACTTTCTCAGCCTGTCCTCACAGGAGAGGTGCTCCAGCCCTCTGATCAGCTTCGTGGCCCTCCTCTGGACTTGCTCCAACAGCTCAATGGCTGTCTTGTACTGGGGCCCCCAGAGCTGGACGCAGTACTCCAAGTGGGGTCTCACAAGAGCCGAGTAGAGGGGCAGGATCACTTCCCTCGACCTGCTGGTCACAAGTAGAAAGTATAGAAATGTTTATAAGTATCTAAAGCCGAACTAGCTACTGGCCTTTCAAGGGTACATGGAAGTGAGTGACATAAAAGTGTCCTGTGAAAGCTGAAGTCTTTTTGAAATTCTAATGTAGAAAGGAATACTAAGACAGCAAGTTTCCTTCACAAACTATCAGCTATGAGTCACTTATAAAAGACACTTTCTCTGAATATTTCATGTTCTTTTTTACTTGGTCATTTAACTGCATTCTTATGTATTTATTTAAATTAGAAATCCAATTTTCTGTGGAGGTGACAGTTTTGTTAATGCAGTTCTCACAGCATTTTTTGTTAGGAGCTACCTTTATTTCTTTCAGTGGGTTAAGTCAAATGCAAATAAACACGATTCCTAATTTCAACTATGCTATCCTCATATCCTTTCATGTGATTTTCCTTCCACTTGCAATAGCACATCACTGATATTATCACTCACTAGTCTTAAGCCTGCCATAAGCATTAGGGACAATGTTTATTCCTAGATTCTGATGTGTTGACTTCCTTAAGTGGTTCTAGTCAACTCTGACCTTGCAAGTGGTGTTGCGCTACCCTGTGTAGATATCTGTACAATTCCAGGACAGTTTAAGCTGATCTAAACCTGGGCTGCCAAGGGACAACTGCTGGGACATGCTGAAGCTGCCTAGGAGATCAGGTATCCAGACTTCATTTTAATGAAAACTAGTGAACTTAGTGGGTAGTGGTGGCAGAAAAATACAGAAAGGAGAGCTGATGCAAACCAGAATCTAGCCTCAACATGGAGTAGGAAAACTACCAAAGCATGCACTTTGATCCAGGAAATCAGATGTGCTTCTGCCAAAGAAATGTGTGGGCAGAAGAGAAATACAATTGAAAATGATAATCATGTCTTTCTCTCTTTTTTTTTTAAATATGATTCCTGAACGTATTTATGATTAATTCTAGGTATGCCATGTGAATTTGGAAGGTCAGCCATTCTACTCCAAGAAGGATAAGCCGCTGTGCAAGAAGCATGCCCATGCCATCAATGTTTAAAAGAAGAGTTGGTAGACAGTAACGCTGGGGAAAAACGGATGACTAACTGGGCAATTATAAAGTTGATAACCATGGCTAGAATTTTTCTTGGTAAAAGCTAGGAAGTTGATACTTCTGAAGTTTAACCTCTTTTGTAAATGCAGAACATGCTTTTGCAAGGTTCATACAAAAACCTACAGAATGAACAGTCAAAACCAAATGAATGAGTCCATTATTAGAGCAATGGTTGGGGAAAATATAGAAATTAACTAAAAACTGTTATGTAAAAAGTAAAGCATAAATACAGTTTCAAATGAACTACCCACAGCAGTTTTACTGCTTAGACCACACACTAGTGTTTAAGAACAACTGAAAAAGTCCTTTTGTAGTAAGTCATTTTCTTTCTTAACAAGAACGAGTAAGTGCCACATGTACAATAATCTGTAGAACCAAAGGCCATAGCTTTCAAAGGAAAATAAATAGATTAGGGTTTCCTCTATGAAAAGTGAGTGCTATTCCATTATGTTGTGGTGCTACCTCATAGCTTCAAATATTTTAGATTCTTTCCAAATAACTTAGTTTGAAAATAAAGTGGAAACAGAATTAATTCCTTCCATGACCCAGTAAGATTGAGAAAAGCATGTTGGGTCAACCTTGCTAGTGCACTTGGCTTATACGTGCACAATAGATTAGTTCACTTTCAAATCATAGTGGAAAAGGACAACTGTTTTTCTACAAATTGCTCTTACATTGAATGGAATAGCACTGACTAGGAAAGCCAGCTTTTAATTTGAAACCAGTTTTCCTCTCCTCTTGTGGAAAAAAAAATGCTCAAAGTTACTTTGGTTTGTAATTCCCATTGATATCAGTGGGAGGTAGGAATCTACATCTGGACCTTCACATTGATGAACACAGAAGACACACATTCATCTAGCACAGCTAGGAAGTGGGAAATAGCTTGCAAAAGTTCCCTACTCTGTGCCACATAGTCAGGAAAAAGGCTCTTTTTTTTTTTTCTTATAATAAATTAACATTGATTAAAAATTCGTAAGGCAGCATAACACCACAGGCACATACTCTTTATTATTTTTGTTAGTTTAAATGCAACAGATTCTGAATTGTCGTATTTGCCTTTGTAAAACAGTAGAAAGGCTCTGACAATTAGGATAACCATACAGTCATCTTTTCTAATATTTTAAGAACAACTTTCAAGTTGTTCAAACAGGTATTTATAAAACTTTTTTTTTTTTTTGCAAAAGAGCAATACTTGTAGTACCAATAATACTTCTGAATTTTTATTTTAAATATCAATGACTTTTGTATTGGAGACAGCAGTTCTGTCTGATAGAAAATAGAGTTAAAATGGGAAGCCTGATCACTATTCAAGTTTTATTAATTTGTTTAAGTGAGAATTATGATGTGTGTGTTGACAGCTTGCCGTACTGACAGTTTTGAATTAGTATTTCTGAGGCTGAGGATGCATTCTGTGGGCCACATTCTGGTCCCATCTATATTTTACCTTGGGTTTTGAGTGACAAGGAATGACATAGCATTGTCTGCCTTTTCCCTCCTAAGGGTAATGCCCATTTTAAGGAAATTGGTGTGTCTTTTTCAGGGATGAAAAACTATCCAAATATTGGGGGAGGAATAAAAAAATTTGGAGTTCTAATATGAGAGTTAAGTTACCTGCAGGCAGTCTGCATCTTGGACAAAAATAACAACCTGAACTGCTTGTGGCAGTTTTGACATGTATGATGTGTTTATTCAGTAGGTATCTTAGTTCTCACTGATCTTAGCAGTGATCTGATCTGAGTGCTACAGGGTCAGATTTTTGTATGCATGAATTATTCTAAAACACTGGTACATTATATGCAAAGCCTTTTTTTTTTCTATAGCAAACAAATTTTCTGTTTTCAGTCAGTGCTGGGCTGGTGTGAATATGGTTCCATTGATTACAAAATCCAAAGATCTGGATCATAAAATTCTCTAGAGGAATAAATTGTAATCATTGAAGTTAAGTATTTTTTCACTCATATTTGACTTCATGAAATACCTTTTTATAACAGTGAGACAATTCTAGATTTCCTTTTAATTTTTAATGCTATTCAACAAAATGGTGTTTATTATTCTCTGTTATTTAAGAGAATTCATATCAGCATATTATATACTAAGACTGCATTGAAGACACTCTTTAGGCAGCTTTCTGTGTTAGTGACTGACTGGGACAAGTCTCTTGCTGTCAACATCAAAACAGGGAGTCAGACTCCTTGGGAGGACACAAAATGCTAGGGCTTGTGATGCCTCAGGAGAATTTCATGAGGTCTTCTGCCTCTAATCTGCATGGGTGTATACGTGTCTCTCTCCCTCTCCACCCTCCCTCTCAGTGTCCCCAAAAACTGGCAGTGTGAAGGATAAAGCATTTTAGGAGATGGCCAGAGATGGAGTGCTGCAGCTTAGGCAGGGGCACACTCTGTGCAGAGATGGTGGTAGGCAGTGCGGCTGGGGCTGTCTCTTTTTCACATTCACAGGGGACCCCGGATTGCCAGCTGAAGTGGCCCAGGTCAGCATGCGAGTTTTTGGGGTGGACAGGGGTCTCAGCGTGGGTAGGGGAAGGGAGGCTTGGATCAGAGAAGGCAGAGCACCTGCAGCAGCCAGAATGACTCTGGGGGCCTCTGTCTGAGTGTGAAAAGATGAGGCATTGAGGAGATGGGAAGCCCTTACTGAAGCAGGGGTTGCAAGAGGGGGGATAGTTAGGAAAGGCCAGTTTCACTAAGTCGACACGTTAGATAGTTGGGGTGGGGAAGGGGGGAATAGCCAGGATGACTCACTACAGTCAGGGAAAGGGCTTGAAGCCAGAAATTAGGATACAGGCAGCTCACAGTAGTACAGAGAGGTAGTATGACTGTGCATAGAACGGATGAGCAAGGGGGATACAGGATCCAATCTAGTAAATTTGAAGTCAGTACTGCAGAAAGGTGAATGCAATGTATGTGAGCATAGCTGAGCTAGCTTGTGGCATGGCAACAGTGAACATGCAGCAGCACAGACTTCAGTGGGAGCCGTACTAGCTTGAAAGAGTCCTGAAAATTTCCTTTTCAGTGGGAGCTGTACTAGCTTGAGAGAGTCCTGAAAATTTCCCTTTCAGTGAGGAGCTGTACTAACTTGAGAGAGTCTTGAAAATTTCCTTGGACAGATAACCTGCACTGTAACACATGCCCTGACTCCAGCTGGTGTCTGAGCAAGTGAGATTAAAGCTAGTTTACATATCACTATATGAGGTACAGTGATATCTCTGAATGAAGAACAGAGATACCCTGAGGATTATCATGTAATAAATTTCCTGTTTTGACTTGTGCTGCTTCATAATGTGGTCCAAATATAGGGAATCCACTTATCCGCCCTTGATATCTATATTAAGATATAATTTTTGCACATATCTGAACCAGAAATTTGTGAATAATAATGTAGTATTTTAACTTTGTCAGGGGAAGAATACCATGTAACTGCTGATACTCTTCTGCCACATGTCACCTTTGTGATATGGAGGGGGGAAAGATGCATATATATATATATATATAAAATTCAGAATAGGGCCCTTCAGTTATCACTGAACATAAACGCTGTACAAAAATATGCAAGATTAATAATGTGTACTTGTTTATGTTTTATGTCTTGTAATAGATGCCTGGGACTAGTCCTAAGTTCCTCTAAATATTTCTTTTCATTCTAATTAACATGGGGTTTTACATAATAAAACAAAGATACTGTACCTCTGAATGATCAATTAAAAAGACCAGTCTTTGTTCAATAACTTTTCAGCCAAAGGCTTCAAAAATTATCTTAATGTTTTTTCTCTTTTTCTGTTCTTTTTGCAGAACAGAGTAAATTAAATGTTTCCAAAGACTACTTTTATTAACTGGAAGAAAAAAAACACTCTCATGACTTCTTTTTTTAGAAGTTAGTTTTTACTATATTGGATTTACACATTACACGTTTCTAAAATCAATTCAAAACAAGGAAAAATGTTTTACTTTGGTCCTTCAGTGGTCAGTACTTTGAGTGAAATGTTTTGTTAAAGATTATTTGTATTTATGTTTAATAATGTGAATGTCCACAGCACTGAACACACTCATTAGTGTCTAATGCTGGGCACGCTAATGTTTATTTGCAATACTTGTCTCCTGGTAGCAGATATTAATTTGTTTAGTATTTATAAACATCAAAATTTGAAACTGAGTGATTTCTTGCCTGCAGTGATCATATTAGAAGTCTAAGTTTTATAATATATTGACATATTGACTTGATGCCACAAGTGCCCTTGCTTTTATATATGTATTTTTTCCGAAGTTCCTAGTTATTTCAGAACCAGAATGTAGTGTGGTTTATGAGGTGTGAGTAACTACCTTGCATGGATTATCTGTGTCAATATGAATAAAACAGTCTAGTAATAAAAGGAATGTGCAAATACAGTTAAAGCTTTATGATTTGGGCATATTTATTAATATGGCATGTGAACAGCTGACAGCTTTCAGCCGTGTAATACTGATCAGAAAGCAGACACAAGCTTGTACTCTCTACTTCAGACCTGAAAATAAAAATTAAAAGCATTGGTTTCAACTGTATTGTATATCAGTCTTGAATGTTTTATTAACCAAATAACGCTGTTTTAAGCAAACATTAGTATGCTTAAAAGATGTAGTGTACTAGCAGTACATGTTGTAACTTAGCAAGACTTGCACAGTCACAGACCTTATTGTGTCAACAAATCCTGTTTATAGTAACTTTATAAGGAATGGGTAAGTTCTGTCTTAGGTTACATTGATGCATCTGAGCACAAAGTTTGATTGCATAAGTTCAGGTGGGTGTTCTTCCATTTCTTAGCAGAAGTGACTTTAAATAATATACAAAACATTTTAATCGTCTTCATTGAGCTCTAGTGCCAAGAAATACTTCCAAATGAAAGGATATCTTCATATAACAGTGTGGCTTACAAAAACAGCCATTTTGCACATTCCTAATCCACACCCTCAGGAATGCAGGATTTTTAAAGATACAACTAATTATATTAAACCTAATTAAGAAGTCACATGATAAATAGACAGACTTGGCTTTAGATGGCATTACAAAGTACAACATCAGGAATCACAACTTTGTGCACTTTGATTTTTCTTTTACAGCCCTAATTTCTGTTTACAATGTGCATAAGTAAAAATACAATTCAAAAGAATGAACAGAACGTATGCAATTTTCTGTCAGTTCAAAATTGCTGTTTTTCAGATTGTCTGTTCTGACCTTCAACCTTTGCACAAGACAGTGGTTCCTAAACTGCGCACTGTGATCCCTGGAGTGTTCAGCTGTTGGAAGTGGAAGCAATAGACAC